GGTTGAGAGCCGTGATAAAAAGTGTTATTATTTTGGCTATAATAAATAATATTTATAGTATAGCAAAAAACTATCTATAAACTAAAATTTTTGAATCGTTTTGCTTTGTAAGGAAAATTCCAAATTAGAAATGTGAATGGATTTGTTAGTTGAAAACTTCATAATTTAAGTAGACTGAATGACGAAACACTTACATACGGTGTGATATTATTATTATGACATATTCTATAAATTACAATTATAATTTAAGAACTTAGTTTATTCACATAAACTTTTTAAATATTTCTTATACGCGCTAATGCTCTGAACACGCTGAATGATTTGTTCATTTCCTTGCTTATCGATCTTCGCCATGTACTTTTTGGTCTTCCACGATTCTTTCTACCCTGTAGATTCCATAATAATGCTGAGTGTGATTTTGAGATTAGCGAAGGCATATCTAGCTTTCCGAAGACTATTGGGTATGTCTTCTGAAGTACTACCTTCTGTTGTTATAATGCTGCCGAGGTAATTAAACTTTCCTACATTTTCCACGATCGTATTGTTTATTGTGAGCTGGGAGGTGTAAGGCGTGTTGATACGCCTGGATTTTGTCTTAGCAATATTAGTGTTAAGATCCACTGTTGCATATTTAGTTGTGAGATCTGTAATTTGCATATTAGCGTGCATGTTAGAGATCAAGGCCACATTATTGCCATATTCCAAATCGGATAATCTATTTCTTATTCCCCAGTTAATTCCAAATCGTCTGTGTCTAGGGTCTCCATTACTGCCGTTATCCAATGTAGTAACGAAAAGAAGTGGCGAAAGCGCACAATCCTGCCTTACACCACTGGATGATGGAATTAAATCGCTCAGTGCACCATTGTGTAGGTCCTTTATAGCTGTGTGTAGTATAGTGATAGTTAAAAATTTGATTTGTTGAAAAAAAATTAAAACGCAAGATTACTAAAGTTATTTAATGATAAAAGTGGCCTCAGTTTTCTTATATCACAAATTCTTTTTCACTAACGGTACTATTAGGTATATTTATGAAGTCTTCAAATTATTAACTATTCTATACTATAGTTACTATAAATTATAGTAAATAAAGTTATTGTGATTATTACTCATCTTTTGTATTTGAAATATGTCATGTAATCTACTTTGGTATTCTTTAATGTGATTAGTATGTAAAACATTTTACTCCTTAGCAAGTTTTTCGCATTTTATGTGTTTCATAAAATGCTTTAAAGTTTTAAAATAAATTATTATAAAGTTTATTATTTTATGTTGATTTTATATAGAGCAAACATAAACTTAAACAAATGCCATTTAATACAACTATTAAAAAGGATTTCCCCAAATTTATTGTTATTGTCAAATTTGACCATATATCATACAATTCAACTATAAATGAACTAAATACTTGAATATACATATGTATATATATATATGTATAAACACTTAAATAGAACACATCAAAGATATCACAAAATGTTGAACTAAATCACCCAAAGGCACAAAAATAAAAAAAGAACCATGAGCGAAAAAACATTAGAAAATAGTCTACCACATTTAATCGGAATTTTTATATATTCACAAATATATATGTATATTTAAATATATATTATTTATATATATATAGTATATGTGTATACATGTGTTGATTATATTAATGATGAAATTACATATATACATTGACACATGTAATCTAAATATTCGCACCAGCAAAGTTATTTTAATAGATTAAGACTACCATTTTCGTAGTAAAAGCTTAAGTAAGTGCAGAAATTCGCTTTGATGACGGGTTGTGAGTTGATGAAAATGGGACTAATGTCGATTATATGCAAATTGAGTGACCGAATATTAACACATTAGCGTGCTCATATAGAGGGTGTAGCGCTATTTTGCATACTACCTGTAAACCACTCAATGATTACGATAGTGTTCTGCTTCGATGAGTTTATTTATGCGTATATATATATATGAATATACATTGCAGTATATACAAATATTATATTTATAAAACCTTTATTCTATTAATACGAGAATGCGCCCGTCTCAAAAAAAGGACATTTTCGTAGTATAATAAAAATCTTTTATTATTTGTTCGTCCTTCAAAAACTCATTTGTGACCTAAATCTAAACAAAAATAAATTCCAAAATTGTATTAATGATTTTAAGTATCTTCAATCCCTTTAAAAGAGATTAGTAGTGGTGATGCAGCTAAGCCATGCAAGCTTCTATTAAAATAAAGTGATTTAATTGAAAATAATTTTTGGTTCAATATGTTAAAACAATATGAATGCCCTTATGAGCTTATTGTGTATTCTTAATGTGAGACTGTCTTCGACAGTGAGACTAACTATCAAGTAATATTTATAAAAATGTCTTAACATTAACATAAAGAATAAAGTCCTTAAATTATTTACGAAAACTGGCAGACTTACCAACACGGCGTTATCGAGTCTCAGATTGGTTACAGGGTCCTTGGGGAGGAATGAAGATCTGCGATCAATTATTACTTAGTCTGTTGAAGTGATAAACAATAATTCAGTCAAAGCGTAGAGAAGGGTTATGAAGAAATCTCGCAGTTAATAGAGAGTAAATCTGCTCAAATGCACTGACTCAACTAGCCTCAACATAATAATAAATAAAAATAATTATTTAAAGTTAGATAATAGGACCAGTAATTAACACAATCCAAATCACTTATTGGTATCTATAACAATAAGGGATTACAGAATTGTATGAACCTATCAAAAGAAAAATTTAGAATCATCACAGGAATCCTAACAGGGCACTGTAAACTAAAATACCACCTTATGAGACTGGGTATACGTACGGATACAAACTGTAGATTATGTGAAGAGAATGAGGAGTTGGGCACGCATTTACTGTTAGAATGCCCTTCACTAATGCATATAAGTAATAGGCTTCTGGAAATGTGTATTCTTACGGAAGAGGCAATAAAACTATGTAAAGTAGGTTCTGTACTACTTTTTATTGCCGTAACATGGCTTAGAGACCTACTCTAAACCCAGAAGGGGGCACAATAGAATCGACGGTTGCAGTGCCATATCCCCTAACAATAATAAAAATAGATAATAGAATATTTTAACTATAGAACATTGAACGAAAACTATATCCAACATATTGGAAGAAAAAAATTTTGTGTATTTTGATTAAACATTGTTTTTTTAAAAGAAAAATCTTATAAAACTCAGCATATATCTGAAAAGTTTGCTCTAACAAATTAAATTATTTTTTTAGTGGTTGATTGTGTATGAACATCTCTCATTTGATTGATCATAAAATAAAGTTCAAGGACATAGCTAACTTGTTAAAAAGGTAGAAAGGTATTTTAGAGCCATATGATCCACTGTTTGTACATAAAGAAGATTTGAACTGACTCCTAGGTGTACCTAAAGTAGATCAAAAATAATGTAGTGTTGGTGATTCCGGGCGCTGGTTACAGTCATGTAAGATGACCGTATATTGGGATATAATACTTTACATTGACAAAATAAAAACTTTAAATTCATATATTATATTAAATTATTGGTGCATTTTCAGAAAGTAATACCAAAAAAAGGACTGGCATGCCATAACATAATGTGCTCGGTGAATGCTCTAGAAAAAAGTGCTATTACACTAAAATAGTGTATAGTATCAGAAATTATGATTATGATTTGATCTCTAGCGACTATTTACAACTTGCAGATCTAAAAAGGACAAGAAAAGAAATCTTATGCCAATAAGGATGATAAGGTGTTAAACAATAAAGACTAAGAAATGTGAAAGAAGTGTTAAAAGGAGCTTAATCTAGATAGATGTGTATTTGATTCCTGCTGATGAAAAACGCGTCAGCGGAGCTCTGTATCTTTAGTCGAAGGAACAAGGGAACAATAATATGTTAGCGATTGATCGAGCTGGCTGGCGGAGGCTACTCGACGCAGCCAAGGACAATTCACGGCTGTAATGACGAACTAAGTAAGTAAATATGTACTCGTTTGTATTAAAAGTTGGCATCTAGAATCTAGACCACTACATCTTTTAAGGACATATACTTTGTATGCTTGGGTAAAATTCTCCTGAATTCAGAAAAACTGAATTCTTAGTATTATCGGTTGTATATTATAGAATTAAAATAAAAATTTTAATTATCCGTTAAAATTCCTTAGTATTATACATATGTGTACTTATAACTGAAAAAAAAGAAAACAAACAATCACGGAATCTCCCCAGTACCCTCTCTGATAACTTCATTCAAGCCTTGCGCTACAAACCCCCTCAAGACTTGTTCCACTATTTCGATAAGTGCGACCGTAATCTCCACACTATGCCCGTTTATAATCTCAGCTTTCGTGATCCCAGCACAAAGTTTATCGCTAGTCTCACTCGCGCCTATGTGCTTTAATCTCATCTCCTTCACCGTCACCCTATTTCCCTAATTTACGCCCCTGCTTTCTGGCTTAGATGAACCTAGCTCGTTAGGTATTAAGCCTATATGTTCACATCTTTCTTCCCTGATTACTAGAATGAAGTTTACTCAATGCTGTGGAAATCTTCTCCATTCCTAAGAGGTGGTTTTAGTAGATTTAAGTCTCACACTGTAGCTTTCGATGCTTTCCATCTACTGCAGAAAAAAAAAAAGCTCAAACCATCACAGAAATGTATGTATTTTGTTAATACATATAAACGAAATTGACAAAACATTTATTCCAAATGAAGTCAAGAATGCCTCAAGCAGTATCTATACATTAAAATACTTTTCTTATTTCCATACATGAATCCTTCTGCAACAGTGAAAAATGCACTTAGGTTTGACGACAACCTGTTGTTGGTCGAATCGACTTATCGTTTGCGATGATAACAAATGCAATATACATCTGAGCATTATGTATCCGTATAATTATTAATTAATAATATAATATACATATATAAATAATTTATTTATTATTCGTTAAATAAAGTTAAATAAGTTAAATAAGTCAATTGGCAGATTGAGCACTTACGCTTCATCCTCGGGAGTGGCCTTTACCCTAGACGTTGTTGGCAGGCATAACAGTTGAAACAGCAAGAATACGGTCAAAATGACAGAGAAATGTGTCATCAACTTATAGCATGTAAATAACATTTTTTTAGCATTTTCTTTTCAGTTTTTGTTAAACCCTTTTCCTAACGATTATTTAATGTGCAATGTTGTTATTGTTATTATTGTTGCTGTTGTTTTTAACGCTGCCTTTATAATTATTTCAAGCGGACTTATGTTTTCTGTTGTTTTGTTGCTGTATTTTTATTCTTGTAGCGCTGTTTTTGTCGCTGTTTTTGTTGCTGTTTTAGTTGTTGTTGTTATTATTGTTTTTATTGTTATTACTCTGGTGGGGTTTAGTGACTGCATTAACACATTTGGTTTTCGCTATTGCGAATTTTTATAATTAAAATGAAAATAATTACTATGGCTGTTGTTGTTGGTTTTATTATATTAAATAATAATTGTGCCTTTGTTTTTTTTTTTTTTTGTTTTTGCGTTTTTATAACTTATATCTGCTTGTAATTATAATGTTGACATTTTGTTAAAATTTTATCTTATTTTGGTATAACATTGGGTGGAGCCTTTCACATATGTTTGTTGTTATTGTTAATTGTTTGGGTTTTAAACGTTACATCAATGTAACGTATATAACATTTTAAAATAATATTTTATGAAACAAATTTTTTATGAAACAATCACAGTTTGATTAAAAATAATTCATTTCGGAAGAACAAAAACAAAAACAAAAACACCTCATCTGCAATTGTACAAATTTCACATAGAAACTAATGAACTAACGAACTAACGAAATCATCACACAAAATACCCCGTTCAGCTGTGCGTTAATTTTCTATATATAAAAAAAATTATTAAAAAAATAAATCAAAGAACACACAAAATCTTTTCTATTTTCCTCTTAAATGATTAAAGCTTGTAATGCAAACACATGCGTGTGTGTGTGTTTGTGCCTCAGTACTGTGTTATTTTCAGCCTCTAGTCTCGTGTGCTGCTTTTAGCTTGGCCCCGGTGGCCCACCCGTCAACGTTGAAATGCTGCGAAACACTAAAAACAATCGTGGAAAAGTGCGCTCGTTTGTGTGCTTTGCAAACTGATTTCCTACTGTGTTTTTGTATTTGTTTAAGGAATTTTCTTATTGAAGTTTTTTTCTTATGCCGACATTTTTATCAAATTTCTTCTTCCATTATTACACATACTATTTAATGCTTGCTTGCCTTATTATGTGCAGTTTCGTTCGTATATGTTCGATTCGATTCGATTCGTAACATTTCGTTGCTTATTCATTTTACCGTCGGCTTTATTGCCTTTTTCGTTTTCGTGTCCGTGCTCAAAGCTTTTTCGTGCTCTATTTTTAGTAGGATTTCAGTGCTTTCATTTTGTTTTTATTTGAATTTTGTTTTCCACAGCTATTCAATTGTCAGTGGGCAATTGTCAAAATATGGTGCAAGAAAAATCGAAATAAAACATGTGAAAGAAGTAGTAAGAATGGAAAATGGAAAATCAAACATCAGCTGTTTCTTGTGTGCCACTGATAAGTGGTGGTGTATATATGCGCGGAGTCTGGTTATTTTAGCATTGATTTTTTTCCCTGTTGACAGCTCGAAATGCAAATAATGTGAAAGGCGAAATCGAGGAGTATACATGGTTGTATTTGATTAATTGATTCTTTTTGAAATTAAATGTAATGAATTTTTATATTTAAACTAAATAAAAATTGTATGATAAATTTATGTACTGTTTTGTCGTCTATTTATTTATTAAAGCTTTGTCGTGAAAGCGTCCAGCAGCCAGTACTACGGCTAGAATAGTCCTATTATAACAATTTCACTATTGTTTAATCTATATTGCTCTTAATCTATATTGGTAACAGAAATTCCATATGAAATAAGTTTTTTCTGTGCTTTGTTAAAGTTGGACAGTCACAAAAAATATGCATAGTATATCTTCGAGGTATATCTTCCTCATCTTCAAAGCATAATCTACATTCCGATTTAATCCTAGATAATCGTAGTTTATGACGGTGATATTTCAGGCCATAATTTTTTTCGTCTAAATATTTAATTCAAATATTAAAATATTTTCTATACTATCATCACTTTTTTAATAAAGAAACAGCAAAAGTCAGAAAATGTTTCTGGATTTTCAGACCCTCCACTTATAGCTTTTTCGCTTGAAATAAAAATAGTAATCAGCAGAGCATTAGTTCCCAACGAAGTGAACATTACAAATGACTGTCAAAATATATGCAAAGGAGTAACTTAACATCAAATGGGAATAGGAGTGTCGTGCCTTATCGTATCAAACTGACTCATATCAATAACAGCTAGTAGTAAGGAAAATGAGTACTTTCAAATGTCTCCCATTCACTATTTTCTACCATCAAATAGAAATAAGAGCTTCCGGCCTTAAAATATCAATTTGACCCAGACTGAAACCAGATACTCATAAAAAATATGAGTTCTTATACAGCATTACCTGCAATTAATTTTAAGAAATTGCCACTCTCGCTCGCCAAACACGCAAGGATAGCCGAAGACATCTGTTGATGAAGCTTTGCATTTTTTGGATAGACGCTCACGTAAAGTGCCATGTTTCACTACCACACAACAGTACTGATTGAACACAGGTGTTAAATATTGTAATCTTAGTGCTTTGAGTTAGGGTGCAACATCTCCAGATAGAGCAATTATTGTGGGTGCTTTTAATAATAGAATGCATTCACTGTCTGAATAGTAGTACATTTGTACCATAAACTTCGTTTCTTTTTTATTATTGAAAATTTTCATACAAAAATTTTATTTATATTAGAAATTTTCAAACTAAACAGCACTTTTATTCGCTAATTATTTTATTGTTTTTCTATTTTTAGTGTTGTTTTAGTAATATTTTTTTTCTTTTTGATTTTTGCGTGTATGACACGCTGCGTTTGCATTTTGACTATTTTAATATTTATATATATATTTGAGCTAAACTTAGCACTGTGTGCTTGCGCGAGTAAGTTGAAGGGCTTTCCTTCTTAGTTGACATACGATAATTCATATGCTATGTAATAATTTCCATATTAAATATAATGTGGGCGTTTTTTGATTAGTTTTACATGATTAATTAGCATTTTTCGTATTCTTAAGAATATTTGAAACAATAAGGCTTGTTGCATGTTTGGGAAGTTTTTAACATCTCATAATATTGCTTAATAAACATAATAACTAATTACTTTTTGAAAAAAACTTTGATTCATTAATTGGAAAATGCTTGATTTTTTGTTTTTGCAAATGTGCTGCATTTCAAAATACAAGAAAAACACTTTTAGTTACGACAAGTAAGTCCTTATTAAAAAGGATGTTTTTTGTGTGCTGCACATAGCTACATTTAGCTACATTGGTCATACTCAGTTACATGTAATCAGATGTAAATTTATTTACAAGGCTTACACAACAATGAAGGACGTAAGAACATGGCTTTGTGGTAGACAGCAAAAGCCTTTTACCATTGCACTTGAGCTGTTTTAGCAGGTGATATGGGTGGTCCTCGTTTATTTATTTGTTAAGGAAGATGAGAACTGATGAGAGAGCAAAATAAATACACAAATTCATTATGGAACATATCTTTAAGGTAAAATATATAAAATTTGTTGCAAATTAATTATAAACTATATGTGGTTGTATTTAGAAAACATATTTTTTCAAGCTCATGCAACAAATTAAGCATGAAGGGTAGAGGATATGAGATTCATACAAAAGACAAGAGTAAGTAAATTAAGAACAATGCATGTTGTAGTACATGGCGTTGGATTATGATTTTTGTGTTTTTTAAAAGATATTCTGTAATCTGTGAAGTAAATTTATATGCTGAATTCTTGTTATACGTTTTTAAAATAAAATTTATTTTGACCTTAATTTTTTGGGTTTTTTTAATGAGTTTCATAATTTCGAAGAAAAATAGTGTCCCTTATTAGATTGAAAATATAACATCGAAGATTCGATTTAGAAAAACAAATGAACCGAGTAATTTAGAAAAATACATTTAATATATACGATTATTTCAAAGTAAAAAGTACTTTTAATACAAAAACAAACAACAAAGAAATCTTTTTGGGAAAACCGATTCATGTTGACAGAAAATTGCAGTTTTATTAAACAAAATATTGACGAAGGAACATATTTATTCATACAGGGACATCATTTAGGATGTTGATACATTAGAATTAGAAATAAACAGGGTACCAGCTTCTAACGGAGCGGAGCACTGCGATCATGGTTGATATTTTTTGCTGCAACAGACCCTAACCGAACAGAAGACATTCTGCTTTTCGAATGAAACGCAAAATGTCAGCTGTTGGGGCTCTCTCCCCTAATGTCAGAAGGGGAGAGAAGTTCGCAACCCAGTGACATCCTCCTGGCCAGGGTTAAGGTTGGTAGTCACAAAGAATGTGACTGGAAGTCTCGTCTGTTTCTAGGCAGAGTCGACAAACTATCTCTTCGGACAGACCCATATTGTTAAGATGATAACGCAGTACATGGTAACCCGTTAAAAATGCCACCAGCAAGCTCTACTCTGTAAAATTGTTTTTAATTTTTTGATTTGTTACGTAGAAAATATTTTCAATTCGGTTTTGTTTTTAAGGATTTTAACTTTTATTTCGATCATATTTTTTGTATATATTTTTCGTATATTTGTATATACATACACAAATATCACGATTGAAATAAAATTCAAAATCCTAAAGAACAAAATCGAGTTGAAAACCTCAATTTTGTTCTGCTGAGGTAGGATACCTTACCGTAACTATAGGGATGAATCAGTTCTTTAGTTCGACGATTACCTGGAATGTCGCGACAGTAGCGATTTCTCTCGGTTGAAAATCATTTTTCAATCAGAGACCTAGTTAGCGGTTATGGATGACATATTGCAGTAAACAAACAGGGTGTGTATTCATTAAATCCGTAAACAGTTGACAAATAGCAAAGAAGTGATAAAAGTAAATGCGATACACATTTTTTTTATGAGAGAATGAAATTTTAAAAAGTTATTATTAGCATTTGATACGCCCTTTACCTAAGAAGCATGCTTTTTTAAAGATCTTTATCAGCTATAAGACCTTCCTCTTAAGAACATTAAAGGCTTTTTCAAAAATTCATTGTAGTCTTTAAACTTATGAGCTTCTTATACGCTAACACAATGGGTCAATAGGTTTAGTGACGGTACTAAGGATTCATGTCCTAACCTAACCTAATCGTACAAGTATGAAATGATGTATGCTATAAAAAGGCATGAAAAAATTTTTTATAGAGTGTAACACTTATCAAGTTAAAAGGATAATACTATTCACATTGACGAGTATCGGCTTCTACTCCATAGTCGGTGCTTAATCCAGCTTTATTATGTTTCTTGATTTCTCTTATATCCCTCACTCTGGTTTAATAAGTGTAATCTGTTCCAC